CTTATTTCTTGATTAAACAGATCTTTGTCAATTGGCCCAAAATTGAATGGTAAAAAATATTTGTAAGAAGAAAATGCTAGTGGTAAGAATGTTCACAGCCAGCCAATAATTAAGCAATGCAAAATAGGCTGACTTGAAAATAGGGCCCAAGTTCAAATAACTCACAAACAAACTGGAATTGCTTTTCGATCTTAAGTACTTTAAGGTCCAGATTCTGGTATCAACCACATAAAAATGTGACTCTAGCCTGCAGATTTATGAAGCTGTAACCAATTATTACAAAGTCTGTTTTATTGTCCTATTAACAACAGCCTTATTTAAATTCTTATTTTACAGTGATTATTTTCCATTCCCAGATATCTGAACGGATCCTTTTACTTGGAAGTGTTACCCAATCATATTCATCCTTGTTCCATACATTCCCCCAAATACAAGGCTCTCCTTCACTTCTATGAACAAGTGCCTCAGGCACTACCCTTAATTAGTATTATCAACATTTCTTACATGCTTTTGCACTTAGATTTTAACGTTCAACTGAAACATATGATCTCTCAAAACTTTCTTTTTCAGTAAATAAACTGAACTATGTTTTTTCTTCCTGTTCTTGGGGTAATTAAGGAGCAGCTGATGAACCTCAACACAAAAAATGTTTAAAAGATGACCTAGATAGCAATAATTCTCTGTTATACCAGGATTTATTTTATAGTATGAGGGAAAATTATGTGGCAGGCAGCAGCAATATTCATTTTCTGGCAAAGGTTCTTTCCTCTGTAAAATCTATGCAATCCCACAGACTTCACTACCTCTAAAAGTTTGTTTTCTGATTTGCCTCTTGGCACTCAATTCTCTACATAGGACTTCATAATCCTTGCCGCTACTCCAGTAGCTGGAAAGTTAGGATACAAATTTCAAGGTTTCAAATAAAAAAATGAAGGGAGGAAAGGCAGAACACACAGCATATCAACAGTATTGTCTTAGCGACGTATCACGGCTTTTCATGAGGTATCTGCAGCTCTTTAAAATCTAAGAGGGGGACCAAAATGTGGAACCAGTAGTTTTATATTAAACACTAAGGCTACATCGACAGGGTTTTTGCACAAACATCCACACCTCAAGCACATTTGTACACAAGAAAATTTACAGTAGAACAGCAGAACAGAGGGCTTTTTGCGGTGCAGGTGTACCTCTATGAGGAATAACTCCTTTTTGCACAAGAATTCTTGTGCAAAAAGATGTGTGCGGACGCTCAACAGGGGCTTCTTGCGCAAAAAGAGCCCATCAGGAAAAGCACAGGTGCTCAGATGGCTATTCTGTGAATGGCAAACAGAGCTTTCTTGCACAGGAGCGTCCAAGCAGTGTGGACGCTCTCTTGCACAAAAGCACATCGTTTTTGCGATGTGCTTTTGAGGTGTGGAGGCGCTTTTGCCCAAGAAGTGTTTGCGGAAGATCTCTTCCCCAAGAAGCCTGCAGTATAGATGTAGCCTAACGTGCCTCTGGGAAACTACATTGTTTCCCAAAAGCAACAAGGAGTCCTGTAGCTCTTTATAGACTAACAGATGTATTGGAGCATAAGCTTTCATGGGCAAAGACCCACTTCATCTTTGACATGCATCTGACGCAGTGGGTCTTTGCCCACGAAAGCTTATGCTCCAATACTTCAGTTAGTCTATAAAGAGCTACAGGACTCCTTGTTGCTTTTGGGAAACAATGTAATTTGGGCATCCCAGCCTCTTTCCAGTGGAGACGCCTCCGCCACCCCGTTGTGATAGATGAGATGAAGGAAAACCCCAGTCTTCCTCACCAGATCATACACAATCAGTGCCTTCCCTCACATGTCTTTTCCCCCTTCTTTTCCTGCCTCTGATACCTCTTACTTTTCCTCTTCTTTTTGCCTTTCTTGCTATGTGCACTGTGACGGACCCAGCGGGGTCTGCACTGAACCAGGAAGGGGGACCGCCCCCTCTCCCCCGGGCCCGGGAGGACAGGCCGGCAGCACGAGCAATCGTCATACACAATCAGTGCCTTCCCTCACATGTCTTTTCCCCCTTCTTTTCCTGCCTCTGATACCTCTTACTTTTCCTCTTCTTTTTGCCTTTCTTGCTATGTGCACTGTGACGGACCCAGCGGGGTCTGCACTGAACCAGGAAGGGGGACCGCCCCCTCTCCCCCGGGCCCGGGAGGACAGGCCGGCAGCACGAGCAATCGGCATAACCGCGGCCAGGCTGAGGTCTTGCGCAAGAGAATGCGCACGACCCCGCGTCAAGGGAGGCGGGGCCAGACACGGCTGCAGCGTGCGAGCCAGGCG